ACTGGCCTGCTCCTCATGGCTTGTTCAGCCTGCTTTCTTATAGACCCAGGACCACCAGCCCACGGGTGGCACCATCAACCATGGCTGGGCCCTCACACATCAATCACTAATTAAGAAAATGCCCTACAGGCTTGCCTGTAGCCCGATCTTATTCAGGCATTTTCTCACTTGAGGCTCCCAGCTCTCCAGTGACTCTAACTTGTGTCAACTTGACACAAAAACAGCCAGCACACATCTGAAACCCCAAAACATCCCATTCCCAGGAACATGCCCACCCCAGAATCATCCTATTTCAGAAGCATCCCATCCTAGAAACATCCCCCACTCCAGAAGCATCCCATCTCAAAAGCATCCCACCCCAGAAGCATTTCATCCCAGAAGCATCCCATCCCAGTAACATCCCCACCCCAGAAGCATCCTACCCTAGAAGCATGCCATCCAAGAAGCATTTCATCCCAGAAGCATCTAATCTGAGAAGCATCCCAACCCAGAAACATCCCTATCCCAGAAGCATCCCATCCCAGAAGCATCCCTTCTCAGAAGCATTCCATCCCAGGAACACCCCACCCCAGAAGCATCCCAACTTAGAAGCATCCCCATCCCAGAAACATCTCCATTCTGGAGCATCTCCATTCCAGAAGCATCCCGTTCCAGAAATATGCCTGTGGAGGTGTTCCTGGTTTTGTTCTCCTTCAGATGATTAGAGTTTTCTGTAACTACTTCATAAATGCACAGTCTTGCACACTGACCATCTAAGCACCTTTTTCTACACCTCAATTTTTTCTTAGACATTGACTTGGGAATCTGATCCCCCAGGTGCTGAGGGACCCTGAAGAAAGAAATGGACTACAGGAAGTGACCTTGTGTCAAGAAAGTGACCCATGAGAATGTTTCCAAATGACAGATTGATCTTTGACTCATTTTCATTCAAATCTCCAAATCCTGAAGGGGGCACACAGTAGGACCTTAATAAATAGGTGTTGTATGCGTGGATCACTGCACTCAGCAGGAGTTCAATAAACAGTAATCAAGTTTCATGAGGATGGATCGCTAGTCCCGGGGAAGCAGGCCCAGACCTTTGCTTTTCATTCTTTGCCTCAGCCCCCTCAAACCTGATCAGTGAAGACATGAGAGGCCGTCTCCGGGTTTCTTTTTCCTGTGTGGATGTGTGTGGTGCACGTGGGGGCCAGAGGGAAACCTCTGCTGTCATTCCTTGGGGACAGTCCATCTTTGTTTTTTCCTTGAGATAGGGTCTCTCACTGGCCTGGAACTTGTCAAGTGAGCCCGCCAGCTGTCCATCTGTGTCCATCTCCCCAGCACTCAGATTCCAAGCACATACCAACCACCAGGCCTAGCTTTTTATGTGAGTTCTGGGCTTTGAACCGAGGTCCTTGTGTCTGCACGGCAAAACTGTCTCAGTTATCACCTGGACCCTGGTTCTTCAATAACTCCCCTTAATATACATTCTCCCCCATGATGATAATCTCCCCCAAATGTGTGGAGAATGTGGTCAGAACTGGACAGTCTCTGTGTTTGAGGAGCAAGGCCATCAAAGTCAGCAAGTTTACCAGGCTTTTCCTGCCCCCCCAAAAAGACTGCGGCCACAGCCATGGTTCCCTAGCCAGCCCATACACCACCAGTTAGCATCACCCCTGTAGTGATGAGCAGCCCGTGGATGTGTGGGATACCACACATGGCTCAGATAGAGCTCTGGTCAACCAGAAGATTTCGAGAGCCTGCCTCCAAGGGACCAGGAGGGAAGCATGCCACTCAGGAATCACTTCCCAGCTCTTAGAGATGCTGAGTCCCCCAGAGGTGGGGCTGTGGGGTGGTAATGCTGAGGAAAACAGCACAGCGAGGCCTCGGAAGACTGGGCCACAGAATCACCGAAGGACCTGTCAGTTCACAGCCAGGTCTGTACCCCACGGAACGAAAACAGGCATTCAGCTGGGTGTGGGGACATACTCTTTAACCCCAGCATTTGGGAAGGAGAGGGCGGTGGACTCATGAGCGTTAGGCCAGCCTGGTCTAGATAACAAGTTCTAGGACAGTCAGAGGTAGGGCCCAGGCTAGGACATAATGAGACTTTTCTCAAAAATAAACAAATAGGCTTCCAAAGGCTAAGGAGACAGCTCATGGAGAGAGATCACAGTGCAATCACGCAGACCCAAGGTCAGACACCCAGTACCCACATAAAAGCCAAGCATGGTGGTGCAGGTCATCATCCCAGCACTGGGGTGAGGGTGGAGACAGCAAGATCCTGGGGCTCATTGGTCAGCCATTCTAGCCTAACCGGTGAGCTTTAGTTTCAGTGATAGGCTGTGTCTCAAAAAGTGAAGTGGAGAACAATACAAAAGATTGCCATCATCGTTCTCTGGCCTACACACGCACACGCACACGCACGCACACACACTCACACACGTGAACATGCACACGTACGTACGCACACACACATGCATGCACATGAACACAGGCATGCGCGCGCGCGTGTGCACACACACACACACACACACAAACACATCCAAATAAAGACTTATCTGTATTCACAACAGCCGAAGGAGTAACAAGCAAACATCCACTCATGAGCCCGTGGGTGGATGAAGCGTGGTCAAAGCCACACAAACGCTACTCCACGGGCACATGGTGTCACGCTAGGCTTCATTGTGACATTTTATACAAGGGCAGGGTGTGGCTGCCAGAGGAAGGGAGATGGAAACCTAGAGTTAGGATTCACAGTTCAAGAAGGGAGGCCAGCAGAGGTGACCCTCCACCTCTCAGCCAGGCTGGGTCCAGCCCCTGAGGAAGGCATGCTGGGTTCTCGGCCCAGGATGCAGTTGGCTTGCTCACCACCCACTTTAATTCTGCCTTTAGGGATCTGTCAATTCAATTTACCCTCGAGGAGTCTCCATTAGAGAATTCACAGGATCTGAAGACGATTTTATGGAGGAAACACAGCCTCCTGACATTGAGCTGGGACAGTTGACCTTTGAGGAAAGCAGAGACTCACAGAAGGCACCGGATTAATGTTTCGATTGCTGTAGCCTGAAACTGCTTTGCCCCAAGAATTGTGCTTGGAAGGTCTGAAGAGAGGCAAGGTGCTTCTGTTGTGCCCACATCGAGAGACTCCCGAGCAAGACCACCACAGAGCCGATATCCGATGCAAACACACAGGGCTTCACTGATTACAAGCCTGAGCTTGGTCTGTGTTCCAGCCCTCCTACAGGGTGGAGGAGGATGGCCCTGAGCTCTCAGAATGAGGGGTTTTTAAAGGGAAAAACCGGAAGCAGGGTGGCACAAGCCTTTGTGTCACGTGATGGGGGAAGGGTGTGTAACCTTTGGATTCACTGTTGTGGTCCAGAGGAATCTTTCAACAACGGTTATCAGAAGGACATTTGGAGGCCGCAAATGTTGTTTATCAGGATTGGTTTATACGAGTGGGCTGCCATGGCGGCTGGCTGGCCTCACACCTTCACATTGACCCGTGCATGTAGCTCTAAGTTGGTGAGGGGTCCCAGACAGTAGACAATTGACTGAACCTTGAACAGTCAGAGTACATGCAGAAAGGGAGCTACTGCAAGGACTATGTCTTTTGTTCATGGCCCTTCCAGAGACTGCTTGCTCCAGTCTCAGGAAACTGAAGTTGAGGCCTGATCTCTGAGAGGAGACTGAGCAGCCTGTTATGGCGTCTGCTTGGTCCTTTCACTTCCAGTCCAGGCATCACCACGACCTTTGAGCGTGCCCAGAAGCTGGGGTGGGGTTTAGACAGCGGACTCTGTAACAAGTCAGTTCTAATCACACCTCTGCTGATGTGGAAGCTGGGGTCCAGGGCAGGCGCCTCAAGAACAATGCTGGCAGTGGTTGGGAGGAAAAGTATGGGCTCAGGACCCGCAAGTTCTCAGCACAGAGGAGATTTATCTGCCCAGAGGGACAGAGGCAGGGGATAAGAGACAAAGGCGGAGGATGAGGGAGAAGGGGGAGGGAAAAGGGAGAGGGACAGAGGTATTTGACCTGGAGGGACAGAGGTATTTGACCTGGAGGGACAGAGGTATTTGACCTGGAGGGACAGAGGACGGCCTCTGGACAGAGAGGAGACAGACGCGGCACATAGGCAAATGGCGGTTTATAAAGGTAAACAGGGAAACCCCGTGTTAGGGTGAGGTGTTTAATTTTGATTGAGCAGGTTAATTAGGTGACCAAAAGGGGGCTTCTGATGCTGGACTTCAGTACTTTGATAGCTGGACCTTGTTAGCCTCAGGAGGAGGAAGGGGCCCAATAAGGGAACAGGCCTTGG